AAGCTGGCATATCAGGTGACGTCACGGTTTGACGTGCCTGTGTAGAATGGGGTTAGCCCAAACCAGATATAATGGATAGGCATTGGTGGTTCAGGGTCTTTTTCATCCCCCGTCTGCCTGCGCGCAGTATTGGAGGTGAAGGATACCTGGACGTGTAATGTTAGTTTTACCTGTGATCCTTTGAATAAACCAGCACGGTTATTTTTTATATATCCAAGTGGTCCGCTTCGTCTCTCTGAGTTCCTGGTTAAAAGAACTGGGTTAGATCTTTCAATTGTACAGATTATACAGATCCATACAGTTCTCTATTTTTAAGTACTCTGTTTTTATTCCTATTTATGTTATTTCACCACGAGCATTGCTTTGTCTGTCTGCATTGTTTACTGCCTGTTTATACTACTTATTTTGTATACTTCCACATTGAGAGCCGATGTACCACAGTCAAATTCCTCGTGTGTCTGACACACCTGGCCTATAAAGTAGATTCTGATTTTCATAAGAATTAGTTTGGTCATAAAATTTAACAGATCTGGGTATTTTTACTAACTTGGAATAGGATCCAAAGCAGAATATTGAAATCCATCCCCATCTGCAGCTCAACATATTACTTTTCTTGCTGTGTGTGTCCCTGACCTTATTTGGATGGTACTCATTTTACCTTTTTCAGGGTAGCAAAGGAAATCCTGGGCCTGTGGGGCCACGAGGGATGAAGGGGGATGGCTTCCCAGGACCAGAGGTAAGAGGGAGCAGTCATGCAAATGAGGGGTACAATTGAATTATTCTTGTATTCAATGCATAAGAAATAATGGTTTATGAATGAACATCTTTTCCTTGATTATTAGGGGCTGCCTGGCTTACCAGGAGTGCAAGGGGAGATGGGACCTGAAGGGAACGGCCTACCTGGAACTAAGGTGAGGCACAAGGGGTACTGTACTTCATAGATTCACCAAGATGGCGAGGTTCATTGTAACTGTAGCAGCATTGAATATTTCTGTGCAACAGGCATAGCATATAATAACCCTAAATTTGATTCACAGAAAATAGTTTAAGTACATCAGATTCCACAGCAGCAAAGTAAAAATGTGGAAGCTACTGTATGTGTATAGACAAGTCAATTGTAAATTTTAGGCTGAATGGCAGTAGGATCCCTAAGGTAGTTGGACGATATAAAGGTTTGGACAGAAACCAGAGGTTCTGTAACCTCTGTAATGATAAATTAGTAGTCAGTTAGTTTTATATTTCATTTCAATGTACAAATGTAAATATTAAGTACTATAGAGAAAAGTATTTGCCATTGTATTATTCGAAATTTCCTTCTATATTTAAAGTAATATTATTGTTACAACACAGAGGCCAAACAAAGTTATTAGACAATTGGGTGCTTTTCTGAAGACGGTATTACTTTTGCGATTTCA